AAATCATTTTGACATGTATGTGACAGTCTTTGAATATATCATGTTGCCAAACCATAGTTTATTGGTACTTAATGCTTTAAATATTGGAATTTTTCCTTCTGAGGCCATAACCTAAATATGGGGAGAATTCATGTGGAGCTACTTCTAAAAGTTTTAGTCATGCCTTATTCATTTCCTATTTCGTATTTTGCAGTTCTCTCTTTTATGATCTTTCTTAAGAATTATTTATTGTATTTCAGGGATTTGGCGGCACACAGTCCTGACTCTTGTCCTCAGAATCAGTACCATACCTCTTTTACTGATTTCCTGTTGTGTCTATTGATCAGTTTAGATTTTGTCTCTTGATTTTTCCATTAATCATGACAAATTCACCTTATTACAAACGGATTGGTAAAAGATGTATAGGCCATTAGTTGAAGTCACTAATTAGGTAACTTTTTTTTAACAGGTCTTAAATTCAATGGTTGCTCAGCATTAATAGTCTTGTTAGCAGAAATCCTGGGCTGATCTATAAAGACACAATTGTGACCTGCATTTAGGTATTTGATTCCCTCCTGCTTGCACACAGAATGTCACTTAATGCAGGGATTTGGGGCAAGTTGCGTAGTTGGGTTACGTACGTAGAGAGGACCAAAGCTATGACCAGAAAAGTTGGGCGGAGGATGTGAATGCCTGCTTTAAAGTGTGGGAGACCCTTCCTCGAAGGTGTGATACTTTTGTGCGAGTTTCTAGAACAGAAGGGCTCAGTTAAAATTCAAGTGAGTTAGTGTGCCCAAGGTGTAAACTGTCAAAGTGTAGTAGATTTTAAGTTAGTAAAACTTGCTGCCTATTTTGAGGTTCTGCAGTGTGGAAAGAACAGCTTTCTAGGTCTTTGGTGATGTGTTATATTCTCTGTGTGATCTGATTCAACTAAAAGAGATTATGTTGGATCACCAAGTGTAAACATAGTTACATATTTGGGAAGGAAACACTTGATTTTTACTGCAGATAGTTCTACAATGGGCAAGATGTTTCCAATACGAAAACCACACAACTAGAAAATTGTCAGTTTTATCTGGAAGCAGCCGTAGGTTATATTTGGTGGAGACAGATATATGTATCTCTCTGTTTCCATAAAGTCTTTGATTACCATGTTCCTGATGAAAATAATAAATTCACTCAAGAAAATGTAAGGTGTACTGAAAAACAAACATGGTTGCTCTCTTCTCCGATTTTGACTACACTGATCAACAAAGTCAAGTAAACCACAGTGCTACTTTTGAAATTGTGATTACAGAAGAGCAAGTACAGCACAAATTCCACTTTGTTGTCTTGCACCTTGGAAGTAAGCCTTTGTCATGCTTCATTTGCAAGACATTGAATTTGGATAATGTTGCTGTTGGCAATGACAGATTTGGCTTCCCTTGTTCCTCTTTGAATTCATACTCAATGTCTTAATTAAAATCTTGTGAAGTGTTTGTCTGCATACTAAATTTGAATTAGTATTTGGAAGCATGGAGCATTTCTTATCTAGCGGTCTTAAGATCCTCCTACTCAACTAATCCCTTCAAAAGACACTACTTTTAAAAAGTTTATAAACATTGAAGGTAGGGAAGGGAGCCTCGGCCTTTGCTCACTTAAACATTTGTTTGCTGAAATAGGTATTTAAGGAATATTTGAGCTATGCGTACAACTGTTGAGACTTTGATTTTATAATGATATTATCATGATGAAAGAGATAAAAGGGAGAATACTTGGGAAGAACTAAAGTTACAGGGATAGAAACTACAGATAGTCAGAGGCATACCTAGGAAACAAGGCTGCTTTCTTCTCTATAGAGCAGCTTGCCAATTTGACAAGTTTATGAGGGATGGTTCATAATTTCCAAATTTTTTCAGAGACTAAAGAAAATGTGCTGTTTCCATATATTAAACTTATTCATCATAAATGGTTCACCAAGTGTCTCTAAACTTTCTGTGCTTTGAAAAAGAAACTTGTAACTGGTCAAGGGGAATCACCTCAGGTTCAGGTAATTTTTGTCTTCGTGATCAAAGTCTAGTTAGACATCCTAAGTTCCTTGTTGTATAGGATTTTAATATTTAATAAATGGATATTCTGAGTGTCCTTCAGTCCAGAGCCGTGAAACCTGAGCAGAATTAATTTTTCTTGCAACTTCTTGATTACTATGGTATGCTGCAGTTATCAGGTGTTAAAACTGAGAACATGATGATGTTGCCACTTCATGTCAAAGCAACTTAGGAAAGGAGGGGCATGATTATGCTGTGTTATTCTAAAACTTTTCTGTTTTCTTTTCAAATAGTTGAAAACCACTGAGAAAGTGTTCATCCTGTCACCCTAACAGGTGTTCCAGGAAGAAACAGCTTATTACTGCTCTCAGTTAGTTCGTTGTGTGCATTAAAATAGAGTTGTTAATCATATAATTGTTAATTATATGCTCATGTATTGAGGGTTTGTGGGTTTCTTCAAGGCCAAGCCATTCAGCTTTCTTAGTTTCCCATCGTGATCCCTAACCCATGCTAGCTGGGTGAAAACCAATGCACTGGCTAGTTTGCTGACTGTCGTGCATATGCTGACTGGTCAGCTAACAGGGCAGATATACTCACATTTTCCTGAAGGCTGTAGGAAATAAATGTCTTTGATAATGCTGCTGTATCTTGCTGAAATTCAACTAGTCCAGAAGTTATTTGTTGAGGGAATAGGAGTGAACAGAAACAAATAGGGAGCACAATCACATGAAACTTGGTTCCTTGTTTTCAAATGTGATACTAAAACAAAATTCAAGTTACAAAATGGAAACATGGAAAGTTTTAGTCCTAATGCAGAGAGGTTGTTCAGGGTAATGCATCTAAAAGTGGATTCCATGATGGAAAATATTTAGTTTTGAAAATACTTAATCTTTCATGGTGAAGTGAGAGAAATGTATCGGGCATCACACCTTGTATTTTCAGGCATAAAAGACTTGCTGAAAGATGGAAACAGCAAGAAGCTACCAGTTTGGAGAAGACTTGAAAGAGAGGGGTCAAATTATGAACTCAAATTTGTTTTGCTTTGTAATCTTGGCTGCTATATTATATATTTTTTTTTATTTTTATCTTTTTTTTTTTATTTTATAATATTTTGTTTTGGAATAGGCAGAAGACAAGGAAAACCATACTTTTTTCTTTCTTTTCTTTCTTCTTTTTTTCAACATAATGGCCTCTATTTGCACAAGTTTATAAGAAGTATGAGGAGGCAGAGCCAATACTAGGAAATGCCTACAGATACCATATCTGCTTTTGACAAATTCTTGCATTGTGTCTGATACCACACCTTGGATCAAAGGGGATTTTCAGCTTTAAAAGAGGCTTACCCCGGGCAAGACTGGGAATGAGGGTGTATTCACGAGACTAAAACCAGTAGCTGATCTTTCAGACTGAGAACTGATGGGGTGTTGTAGTTGCAGGCACACACATGGGTTACAGTGAGCATTTCTCTGAGCCTGAAGCCTTCCTGAATCACAAATTAGGAAGAGGCTGGGCATACCTCAAATGCAGAAAACAGGTTAAATTTTTATAAGAAAGTATGCATAGAATGTGGAACGTACTTTCACAAAGCAGTCTGGTTTACTAAATGCCATGTGTCTCTTTGTATGCTGCTTCTCTTTTCCTACCCTGGAAAGTATTTTTTATTCAAAAATTATTTGAATGTCTTACCAGAAGAAAATTTAAATAAATATATGTCAAGAGGTCTGCTTACCTAATGGTTTTGTATGCACTACCAAATACACTTCAGTGTTTAGGAACTGGAATAGGCACAGTGAACTAAGCACAATTACAACGTTTAATCCTAAATCTTCTGTTTCCTATAAAAATTTTTAGGAATTTTTCCTTACTAGTTAATATATAGTAAAGGTCGTTCTTTGGTTTAAGTCTTTGAGAGATTGTGCAAAAAACTAATGAGCTCATTCTGTAGAGAATACATTGTTTCTTTAATGTGTGTAACTACCTAGAAATACATATCAAAATTCTTTAATTTTTTTTTATCTGATATTGGAATAAATTCTATGTTACGTGTGCAAGGAAACAGTTCCATAATTACACTAATATTTGCATAATTAACAAGCTGCTTGCCAATTTTAACTGACAAATTCCAGGTCACTTTTGCTTGAGGGGAAAAAAAACATTAAAAAATGATACCTTCTGTTAGTTTTTCCTTTCATACTTCTTACAGGTGTTGAAACTATTTTTTTTCTGATTTGCAAGTAAATGTGTTTTTTTTTTCTGATAGGCAGTGCTGTATTGAATAGGAGGGCTGACTTCCTCCACCTATGCTCTGGGGCTGTTTTGGGGGCTGCCCTCGAGCTCTGCCAACATATCTCGGTCCTGACTTGTAAGATCCCCTGCTGCTGCCGCCGCAGGTCTAGGCAGCTCTTCAGAAGTGACTGCCAATAGTGCCGATTTCTTCCAACTGGTGCGGTAGTTTTCTGGTGTGCACAAATGGGGGCTGAGGAAGGACCACCAAAACTTATTGCCTTGTGACCTGAGGCAAGGTTTGAACTCCAGTTTCCGTTGAAAAATGGCAAGTGTGCCGTTGGCTGCCCGTGCCATTCAGCTGCATGGATTTAATGCTTTACATTGCTACTGAGTAAAATGTTGTTGTCTAAATGTGAGCTGAAAACACTTAGTCATTTAAGGTCCAGAAATGAAAGGGTCACAATAAAAACATGAAAGAATAATTGAGGTGGCACTTATAAAGTGAAAACAAAAGCGTATCTATGTCTAGATATACATATTTATTATTCCAATTTCTAAGTGGCTTTGTGTGTTTTCTTCACAGTATCTGTATATATTTTATGCATAACTGTATTAAAATGCCCATACACAGCATTCTCTCACTTCCATTTAAAAACTGTGAATCACAACAAAAATGCTATAAGAACATCTAAGGTAGATAATTAAAGTATAATTAAGTTTAAATGCCTTGGTGAAGGAATATAAAAATATTTAAATTCAACAGGCTAGTACATTTGCAGTTTTCTTTTATTAGGTGTGAAATCTAAGAATCCCCTGCCAACTCTTGAGGGCTCAATCCAGAATGTTGAATTGAAGTACTGCGGCACATCATTGGTCAAATGTGCCTCTGGGACCGTGGGATCAATAAAAATTTGTGCCAAAGCCCCAGGTATGTGCAGCTGGACCATGTAAAACTTTATTGCCTGTATAGGAGAATTGGCCTTGCTTTTTACAAGGAGAGTTACTGAAACAAGAATTTACTCATTGTTCCTATGAATCAGAGAGGTTTTTTTGTATTCTGTTTTGGGGTTTTTTATTATTATTGTTAAGTGTGCCAGGATGATCCAGTCTGGCCCCAATATAGTCAATTTTTACACCAAATAAAAAATAAAGCTGATATTTTTTTCTGCTGAGATATATATTAATCTAAAAGCACTGAAGAAACTGAAATAACTCTGCATTTTCCTATCACACAGAATATCTGCATTTTGCTTTATTTGCAGCATAATTTTGATGTATTCTGTTTATGGTTTAATTTCTCATTTTCCAGTAATGCTACAAGTATGTATTTTGCTTGTGAAGTTTTTGAGGGCTCTGTGATAAATAGTTTTTAAATTTCTTTAATAGAATTTTTCTGGAAGTGCATGCAGGAACTTTTCCAATCAATGTCTATGATATCTTCATATGTAAAGGCAGCTAACTAACTATTAAAAAAGTAGTGCATGTAACTCTAAATTGAGTTCATGCTGATTTTTAAAGATATTATTTTATAAAGTTGGGATGGAAAATACTATTTCCAATAGAATTGATTATTTGAAATCCTCCTGCATGTAAAGACATTTACAAGATAACATTAAGGAAGCTGTTTAATAGTTTATATGAGACTGCTCTCTCTATTTCCTCTTTTAATTCTGTACTTACAATGTTAATAGCTGTTCTCTTTGGACTAGTGAATGTTTATGTTGAAAATTTATCTTGTTACAGTAAAAGCTGTAAAGAGTCTAATCTTTATCTTAGGTGATGGTGGAAAAGAGAAGCTGATTCCTTTAATTCAAGGCCCTTCTGACACCAGAGACTTACACAGCAGTAAATGGCTCAATGAGAGTAGAAAGCCAGAATCTCTCTTAGCTCCAGATTTGGTAGCCTTTACAATCCAAATTCCACAGTATATGGACTACTGCCATAATTCTGGTAAGTGCAAAACTCTTGGTAAGCTTGTATCACGTTACATTTTTCCGATCCAATGTAATTTTCAAAAGATAGATGTCATTTAAAACGCCAAATGCCAAAGTATGTTTTTCACATACTGCACACATTACAACTCTGCCTTAGCTCACCGTGTGACACAAAACCTAAAAGCAGCATTTCAATGTATGTCTTCTTCAATAAGGAAGGCTTCATTGACTTTGCCTTTTAAATTATTTATACAGAATTTTTTGCAACCCCTTTTTGAGGGCAGGATCCAAGTTGAAAATATTACATTTTTTATTTCTTCCCTTTATCTGTTGGGTTGAGCTGCTTATACACAAGTTGGCACACTGAATTCAAAGTGGTTCATATAAATTTGCAGCATAATTTATAATTAAATTAAGAATTTGTTTATCATAAAAACTGTTAATAATAAAAATGTGATTTTTAAAATGCTACAGAGCACATATTTGACATCATCAAACTTGGGGTTGTGGTGGATTTAAATGAGAAACAAGTTGATATTTTCAGAGAATTGCTTGGATAAATTTAAGACTGTTGTTGATTTTGTGGGCATAAATAATCTTACCTGACATTCTTATGGTTTCTGTGGGCTTGAAACAAAACATTGGTCTGTTTTAAGCAACAATGACAGTTTTGAAATGTATCTAACTTAAAATAACTATAATATAGTTTCTGAATTACACATGGATCTAGGTTTTGCAGTCAGTATGGTGCATTTTAAAAATCATATTTTCAGGTTTTTAAAAGTTTATCCTGTTGTTATGCTAAGAGTGGAATCAAACAGGGGGAGGAAAACCAACCCAGAAAGCATCTAGTTTAAGGGAAGCAAAATAATTAGCCGACCTCAATATTATGAAACACGAAAGTAAACTGAAAAGTGTGCGCTTTTTCTCTATTTTTTTCATGTGTAATGGTTGTTGAATGTCATTAGTCTGAAAAGTAACAGTGAATTTATTGCCATCTTTGTAATTTTTACGTGCATATGTAAACAACATTTGATTCTTATGCAAAGTAAATATTTGCAAGCACTGCGCACTCCAGCAGTTAGGGGTTTTTTTCAGTAACTGTACTTGTATGTTTCTTGGAGAGCATCATGTTGGAAATGTTTACGATAGTGTTTTTATAACAATTATCTGAAGTTTCTGCCCCTAAAACATTGCTGAAAAGCAATTCATTATTCAACAGTCTCTGAATTTTTCAGATCTGCTTTTTTAAAAAAGTGAAAATCTGTTGCACCTGTTGTCTCACTTAAGTAACTTTTAAATGTTCATAATAATAATATTTATTACTTTTACTGATTATTGCATTTTCTGCCTTTTTTGAGGATCATTTGGTTTAGTTTTCTGATTTTTGTCTTAGAATATTAATGACATTTTAAAGGAGCTGTGCATACTTTCCTATGCTATAGAATTATTGCTTTTGTTACAGGTCACGGGGATCACATACATTTTTGCTCATCAGTGTTATGGATAGTCCAATTAGACAGTTGAGAGAACTTGATAGGCAGTGACAGGAGATGCCTGTGAGAATTAAGGCACCCACAAATGAAGTGCCAGCCAGACTCATATGGAGGTGCTTTGAGAGGCAGAAGATTGGTTTGTAAGAGACAAATGTCTGTGGTACCTGTTTTGTAGATGAATGGAGATACATTTAATATGCTAAGATTTTAGAATTGAAAATTTATGGGACCCTTCACCTGCCCCTGCAGTGCCTCAGGGAAGTTGTACCGATTCCGTGTACTCAGTGGTAGGTGCCAACCTGTGTGCTCAGGCTCTGGCTCTGCTTCTCTCTATCTGTGAGGTGGCACCTTTGATGACAAATGGGACAGAAAAGCTGACTGATGTGTTAAAGCTTTGGTCCCAGTAAACATGCAGAATAGTGTACTGCAAATGTTTGTGGGGTCTTTTTAAAATAAAAATTAAAATAGGAAACTAATGTTTAAATTATCTCAGGTTCTATACAAAGGATGAGGGAGTTAATTAAAGCCTTCATTTTCAAATACATGCTGAAGGAACTGAGGGGATTTAATAAAGGAGGTATAGCTGTCCTTTTCGTTAGAACTGTGAAAACTACATGGAGAGAAAACATGAAGTTATTTGAGAGCATAAAAATGCTTTTGCTGTCAGTTGCAGTCACTTCTGGGAATTAAGAAAGCTATACTGGATAATTTGACAGCAAATTCAACTTATGCCTCAGGGGAATAGAAGGGTTGTTGAAAGCTGTACTACTGGAGATGATTGTGCTGTACTGAAGTTGTGCTATTTGAGCAATTTATCCTAATGATGTTAGATCTGATGTTCTGGAATAGGAATTTGGACTACAGAGAAGAGTGGGCAGAGTAGTTCAACCTACTTGTAGGAAGAATGAAAAAAGTATCCAGGAGAGATGAGAAAAATTATCTAAAACTGTTCAGTGTTATCAGATTGCTGGAGATAAGGCCGGGGTTGGCCAAGTCTTCAAGCCCTGCAAAGTGCATATACAAATAGCTGTATAGCTAATGCTCACAAAATACACAGATGATTTCTCAAAAGAGCTAAGGGCGGTGGCAGTTCCAGCTTGGTGGGATTGGATAAGTTGTCACCCAGCACTCAGGTAAACTCAGTTCACTTCTCCCCATATGCAAGGATTGAGAAAACTTTGCAAACTCAGTGTCAGTGGAGCACAGTGTGCAGCTCGGCGGGGGGTGCGTTAGGGCTGCCCAAAGCTAAATCGCTGCAAGTCAGCCACCTCCGTTAAGAACAGAATGATATCATGTCTTTTGGTGTGTAAAACCAAGAGAAGAAATTGCAGGGGAATTTCTGGGTACTCTGAAAGAATCTTGGAATACAACACAATGCCTATGCAAGTGACTTTTAAAAATTTTTTGCTTATATAAAAATTAGTGAAGGAAGAATAACTAATTAATTTATTATGCATCTGTGAAGTTGAATGGAAGACAACTCGGTCTAAAATCAAAACAGTTGTTTGGATATAAAATGCCAAGGAGGAGGTTGTGCAGATGGCATGAGGTTCTTGAATAAATCAGGGTGTATTTACCTGGAGAACAGGCCGGGGACCTTTCATCCTCCTCTCCCTGTCGGGTCAGCAACTGTCTACTGTCTTGTACCACTCCAGTCATACGATTCAGGGTGACCAGGATGGTTGTGCAGCTTGCTTTTACTGCTTGTCTGTAGGTGGCCCTGCAAAGGTTGAGTGTGTATTTACAATTTGAGTGATAAAGCATTTTACACTAGTTTTATATTTCTTGCTATTTCACTTGCTGCTGCTGAGAGGAAGAGGAAAAAAAAGTACGGTTCTAGTAGTACCATACTGCACTGAGTATAACCAGCATAGGGAAAAACTCTATAAAATGTAATTCCAAAAAGGGCAGCATTAAAGTGTGCAGTGTATAGCACATACAGGCAAACTAAGTATTATGTATAACAAGTGCATCTACTGGTGACTACTTAGCAAGAGTATTTTTCTGTTTGGTGCACAAAGTGTCGTTAGCACAGTGGAAAACCATTCCACCTATGGCAGAGGAAGTACTTAGGGACACAGAAGATCAGTATGATTTTGTTTAGTCCTTAAATACAAGTCTGCATGCTGGTGCTTTTGATTTTGGGTACTTTAATTGTATGAAAAACTGCCCCAGGTATCTCTGTGCACAGTTGTAAAAATCAGTGGATGTGCTCCGCAGTCCTTATCTGAACTGCAGCATATAAAATAAATACAAGAGAGGAGATTATTCCATTACCCCAGGGCTTGGGAAGGTCTTCTTTCTGCTTCTCTGAACTAACCCTGGCTTTATTAACCCTCAGAGCAAGCTGCAGACCATGGTTGTTTCACCTGGCCTTTGAGAGAAGTAGGGAGATTTCAAAATGAATGCTGGTGTTAGTATTTAATTATGAGCAGCTGTTGAATAGATGAGGTGAGCTGATTAAGCTCTATTTGGTTTGCCATATTGAATAATTGGGAGTATGTGCACAGCCAGCATATGGAGAGCTTTATTACATATAAATCAAGAGGAACTAAAATTAAAAAATACAATTAAAAGGTTTTCTTTGAGATCAGCTTAAATATTCAGTAATGCAGCAGTGAAATAAGGGGTTGAACAAAAGTACCTGTATTACTAGCATGCTCATGTGTGGTAAATTGATACACCCAGTGGGGCAAACTAAGAGTGAGAAGGCTTCTCTAGTTTGTGAAAGCTGTGTGAAGGCTGAACAGCAAATATTCAACCTTATAAAAGTTGGTAATTTCTCATTTAAGTGGTATTTTTCTTAAATTTCCAAAGATTTTTTTTTTCTCCACTGCCAATATTTTTTAATTTTGGGTAAGATCACTCCATTCTCCTCCCTTCCCCCTATAAAGAAAAAACTGAAAATATTTTTTAAGACCGAAAAAATCATATTTTCAAACATGAAGAGAGTGCCATAAAGATTATACCAGCAGGAACATTATTTTTTTCCTATCATAAACCACCTGATTTTATCTGTTAGAATTTGTTTGAAAGGAGGTGAGAGATTTTACATACATTTGTTTTTATGCCACCAACTCCCCCTTTCTTGCAGTGAAAAAAGCCTGTCATTGTCATATTTTTTTATTTAATTTTGACTACTCACATTGGGGATACTTCAAAGTCTGGTTTTTAAAGCTGGAACAATGATATTTTTGAAGTTCTCAGTTTTAATTAAATGAGTGCTTGTTCCAGTAAACAAATAAAAAAAAGTCCTCGTAAAAGAGAATTCATAAACTAGTTCGAAGTATTTTGGAAAGATCCCACACAATGAATGAGTAAAAACGCTTAATATATTGGAGTAATTAAAGACAATTCACATTTGTGGTTTGGGCATAAATGTGTAAAAATTATACCCATCTATCTTATTACATTTCCTTTTCTCTCCCTGAGGATTTCACTATGTACTTTATCTGTAATTGTTGCCAGTTTTCTATCAAGTTCCCACTGGGCTTCTGGTGCAAAAAATCTTATCCTCTCG